ACGAATTTGACGATCATTTGAAAGAAAATGACATTCTATCAGAATTAACACCTCCCAGAACAAAGTGTTTGTTGCTCGAGATGGTGTCTTTTTGGAGAAGGAACACATTTCCATAATGACAAGTGGGAGGAAAATCGAATTCGATGAAGTTCGAGAGGACGAGCAACAAAGTCAACCTAACAAAACTGACAATCAAAGTGCTTTAGAAGCAGCTGTTGACATTGGTCAGAGTCAAACCGACAATGCAAGTGCTTAACCTATTACCCTGCGTAGGTCGCTACGGCCAAGATCTCAACCAGACAGATTCCTCGGTGTTGTCTTAACCAAAGATCAGGACATCCTCATAATGGATGGAGATACAAACAAGCTATGACGAGCCCCGACTCTGCAAAATGGCAAGAGGCCATGAAATCCGAGATGGACTCCATGTTTGAAAATCAAGTCTGGGACTTGGTTGATTTGGCCGAAGGTTACACACCTATCGGTTGCAAATGGCTTTTCAAGTTAAAAACCGACAAAGATGGAAATGTATCTGCATACAAAGCTAGCTAGATTGGTGGCAAAAGGTTACAGGCAACTTCACGCGCGTTGATTATGATGAAACCTTTTCGCCAGTCGCCATGCTTAAGTCCGTCCGGATTATCCTAGCATTATGATTATGAAAAATGTCAAATGGATGTAAAAACCGCCTTACTTAATGGGATTTTGAAAGAAACTGTGTATATGACACAGCCGGAAGGTTTTGTTGATTCAAGCAATGCTGGGAAGGTATGCAAGCTTAAGAAGTTCATTTATGGACTAAAGCAGGCAAGCAAAAGTTGGAATCTGCGATTCGATGAAGCCATTAGTAAGTTTGGTCTTATCATTTTACAAGAAGGTCAGTGGGAGTGACATCTCATTCCTCGTCTTATATGTCGATGACATATTGCTCATTGAAAACAGCATTCCAATGTTGGAGTCTGTAAAGACTTGGCTTGGGAAATGCTTTTCAATGAAGGACTTGGGAGAGGCTCTATACATATTAGGCATCAAGATCTATCGGGATAGATCTAAAAGGATGATTAAATTGAGCCAAAGTACTTATATTGATAAGGTACTGGCACACTTCAACATGGAAGGGGCCAAAAGAGGGCACCTACCCATGTCACATGGCATGACTCTCAGCAAGAAGCAGTGTCCACAGACACCTGATGAGCGAGAAAGGATGAAAGAAATTCCATATACTTCGCTTATTGGATCGATCATGTATGTCATGATATGCACTAGGCCGGATGTATCGTATGCCTTGAGTGCTACGAGCCGATACCAATCAGACCTAAGAGAGGCGCATTTGACTGCGGCCAAGAATATCCTAAAGTACCTGAAAAGGAACAAGGATAAATTTCTGGTCTATGGTGGGAGTAATGATTTGGTTGTTAAAGGTTATACCGACGCGAGCTTCCAGACTGACAGAGACGACTCCAAGTCGCAATTAGGGTACATATTCTGCCTAAATGGAGGAGCATTTAGTTGGAAGAGTGCTAAGCAAAGCACCACTGCAGATTCTACAATTGAAGCCGAGTACTTGGCAGCTTCAGAAGCAGCTAAGGAGGCAGTTTGGATTCGTAAGTTCATTAGTTAACTTGATGTTGTACCCTCCATCAAGGGTTCGATAGACCTCTATTGTGATAACAATGGAGCTATTGCTCAGGCTAGGGAGCCAAGGGAACATCAGAAGGTCAAACATGTCAAGAGGCGATTTCACATGATAAGGGAATGGAAGTCCGAGGGTGAAATCAGAATTTGTAAGATTGGAACGGACGACAATGTAGCCGATCCACTCACTAAACCTTTGCCTTAAGTGAAGCACAACAAGCACGTTGAGGCAATGGGAATCAGGCACGTTGGAGATTGGCTTTGATTTCCCTGGTATGTTTTAATTAAATTTGAGATTTGAATGTAAAACACTATGTTGAACCATTCGGTTTTAGAGCAATTAAATTTTCAGCAAATTTATTATTACTCCATTTCTATTTAATTGTGGCTTAGAATTAAATAATGAGTCCATTCGATTTCTTAGAATATTCAAAATAGGGTAAAAGAAACACTTGTTAAGTGAACATTGAATATTTCAATCGAAAATTATCCCTAATCAAGGTCATTTAAATGATGGACGGTTAATGACCACTTGAGATTAGTGTGTAGTATGATTTATAGCACCGTTTCTTGTGCTACAAGGACATGATTGTCATAAATCATTTGCACAGGTATTGGTTTGGAACTGTACCAGATTGACCTATGAGTGTACTTTAAGAGATTTAAAGTCGTCATAAGTACATTTCTCATTATAGAAATCGGAACCTTTTTTCCTCGATCGTGAGTATTGTAGGTTCTCTTATTTGAGTACTAGTCCGTTTTGATGTTGTCAAACGTCTGCCGTAAAAGGGGATTATAATGTCAACACTCGGGCGACTAGGTCCTCTTAGTTAGGGAAGCTAACAATACAAGACTAGGAATGTCCCCCTACTGACAATAGGGAACATGTCTTTGTTGTTTAGAAGGCTTCTCGAAGAGCGAAACTGTGAAAATGCATGGCCTTGCTCAGATGGATTTTAGAAATCATCTACTTATTGACAGTCGAACTTGGAAATCGAGAATCACTTCTGGATGTAATAAGGATGACGAAGATTCTTACCTTATAGTTCATGAAGAGACATTAAGTGACATAGGAAATGGGCTATACACTAACTACACACTTGTCCGGAAGGACAAGTGGGAGATTGAAAGGAATGGCGTCCTTCCAACAAGTGTATTATTCCGATAAAGGGTTCAGAATTATTAAAAAGCTAATTCTTCAGTGAGGTCAAGTGATCGGAATGCCTAGGTGGAGGCCGCTTCCGATCAGTAATATTAATGTATAATTAATATTATAGCTTAATCTTGACTGAACCCTTCGAGTTGTTCGATCCGAGACGATGACCGATCCGAGACGATGAATCAATCCAAAGGATTAGATGAGTCATTAGAGTACTACGAACAAATATGTCGGATATCGAGCTTAGCCGTAGCGTCGCATTAACCTAGCCATGCGATTGCTAGGCTAGCCTAGGCCACCGCATGCATCACAAGGCACGCCGCAAGCCAAGCATGCATTTGTGTGCTAGGCTTGCTGGCTAAGCATGCTTGTGGGACTGGTGCACTTGGCCGCACGCATGCTAGCACCTGGCGCGCTATGTGTGCTAGTGTGCAGCAGCTAGGCTGCGCCTAGCACGAGCATCGTGTAGTCAGCAGCAGCACGCTATGCGTGTTTGTGCTATGGGCTATGCGTGCTTGCGTGCTGGGCATTGCATAGCACTCGCACAGCAGCACTCGCAACGCATCGCAGTAACAGTTGCAGCCCGTAATGCGTGCGCGGCTTACTTGCTGCGCACATGCGATGGCAGGCTGGCCAGCCAGCCCTGCCTTGGTGCTAAGCGCCAGCTAGGCAGCCTTGGCAGCAAAGGCAGGCTGCCAGCTAGCCATGTGTGAAGTCAGCATTTGGTCAATGGGGACCGGTCTTGGTGGCCTTGCTCGGAGCAAGTGGTGCTTTGGTCCCCCCCTCCCCCTTAGTGGTCCTCAACTACCCTTGCTCACCATATGCCACTTGGCGCTTGTGTGATTGATTTGTTTTTTAATTTGTTTTTGAATTAAAATAAATTAAGCAAAACGCAATTCTCCCACATTGAAGGGAAATGGGAAATCAAGACTCCCTTCCCTATAAATACCCTTGTTTTGGGTTTGGGAAAAAGCACTTGAGTGGAACTCAATAAGGCATCTATAAGTGAAAAAGCCGTTCAGTTCGTAATACTCTAGTATTTCCTTGGTCTAGCCCTAACTAACCTTCGGTGTAGAGACCGCTCGGGTCAGGTCGAGGGTGCGAGCCGTCGGAGGCTTACGCACTTGCGAAGCTAGAGCTTTTAAGCAAGAGCTCGTAAGCGAGCGAAGCACGCGTCGAGGGTAAGATTGTCTTTTCTTTTTCTCTCTCTTTTGTTGTTTAATTATGCGATTGCATGGTTAGTTTCATTAATTAGTGTGCGGGTCTTGGGCGGGTTTCATTCCGCGTAGTGTCGGACACTATGAAACCCAACATTTTTAATAACAGATGTCTACTTTGTAATAACAGTATTTTACTTATACATAGTTTTTCTTAGCAGAAGATAAACCGTACAAATGAAGGATGACATTGTTTGGAACTCGCCCATGTAAAATTGAATAGTTTTTATGAATTAAACCAGTATAAATAGCTTATACATAGCTAGTTGACATCATATCTATATAAACAGCTTCCTAACCGAAGATTCAAATTACAAAAAATTTCAAATTACAACAAAATTCAAAAGTTCCCCCTCCTTTAATCTCCAACTGCATACCGAAGATGTCAAGACTTACGAAGCGATGCGAATGTGGATTGCCGGTAGCAAAGATAACCAGCTGGACACACGACAACCCGGGGAGGAAATTCCTTTCCTACATGTTTCACAATTTCGAAACGGGGGAGAAAGGCTGTGACTATTTCTAGTGGGTAGACAAAGAGTTGACCGATTGGCAAAGATATGTGACCAACGTCCTTATTTCGGAGAAACAGAAGCTTACCACTGAACTCAGCATACCCAACGCTAGGATGGAGTGTTTGGGTCATGAAAATAAGAGGTTGTCCAGGGAATTACACAATCGAAATACAAGTACCGCAGGCAACAACAATTTCAATATAATACTCTTCTGTGTACTCGTGTCGGTGGTGATCAGTGTTAGCATCATGGAATTAGCAGCAATATGAAATTAGCTTAGTTATTGTATTAGGTTTGACAAAAAAAAAAATTATCAGTGATGGTGGTGATTAGTGTACTGGTTTTAAATTATCTAATTTAACTTTTTAGCATTGTTTATTTAGTTTTGCAATAACTACGATTGATCATTCATCACATGCAATTAGCATAATTAACAAAAGTGTCAAAAGAGACCTGTCACTACTACGATTGATATACAAAACGCAATATCCCAATGACTGCACTGATTGTTCATGCGCTGATAATACAAAAGAGATATATCACTACTAAGATGTTAATAACCCGATATATTATTGTAGGATGGTGCACTCATAATGGTAGTAGAAATAAATGGGAGCACATCGCGGGCAACCCACAGAGGACAGGATTGAATGGACCTAGTAAAGTAGCCTACTTCACCATATACAGGTCCACACCCTATTCCGCCAAGCCAAATCGCAGATATTGGTCCTTGATCCACCACCTGAGTTGGTCCTTGTTATTTGAAACAAGATTATTTTTTATACCAACAACAAACCATTCATGCATTACATTTCAATCCATCATATTCACTTATAGGAATAACATTAGCCGCTTGTTGCTATTTTATTGATTTCCTTCCTCTTTTTCTGTTTGGCTTGGGGGGCTTGTTAGGTTCCATTACAGCATCATTCAACCCACTCTGGTCCTATAGACAAAAGAAAACATTTTAAGGTTTTTGTAACACAACCAAAAGATTCATAAACTAATGACAATGGTTTACCGTGCTTTGCTTTTACTTTAGTTCCGATGCTGCTTTCTTAGCACACTTCTCCACAAATGATAGGAATCGCTTTGCCCTTGGTCTATATGGTTTTTTCCTCGAAATTAGATCCCCGACAGACAATGCTTTGGGTGCCAACACATCAGAAGGCTGCTTCTCATTCCCTAAACTCACCCCCTGAGGACAAACTTCTTCATTTGAAACACGTGTGTTAAGAGTTGGAGTGTTGACTGGATCAAGGGATATATCTTCAAGCCCCAAAGCAGATGTGTTCCCAAGAGACTCATTAACATGAGAAGGCACGCTGGAGCTACCAAAATTATCATCCACATCATTCACATTATCATTCACTGAAGGAGATGATTGCAGACCTCCAGTACATAAGTATTCCAACTGGCATATGGCATCAAACACCATTTTCACATACTCTGGACGGGTGGCTGCCTTCAGACACACGCTCTCAAATCGGACCATTATCCTATTATACCTCTTCACTTCTGCAGTTTTGATAGGATCATGGTATATATGTGACCTTAACCCGTGTGTGACGCCTATGGATATCTTTATGCCAACACCTCAATATATACTTAGAAGGGACTGCAGTAATGCCATTTAAATCATACACCTTTAACTGATGGCAACACATTATTCCATGACAATCAAAAAGCTTGCATTCACATGACATATCATTTGTTTCAGAGTTTATCATTACAGTGTAAATTCTCTTCCTTTCAAGAGGAATCTCCTTCGTTAGTTGTTTATCATACAACCATACATCTTGAACCAAATGTTCCACAACATTGTTGGATATCTCTTGTTTCCCAACGACACTCAAGTACATAAGCCTGGTGCATTGGTCCTGCACCTCTACAAACTTAGCATCGGTGTAAACTTTCTGGAAGTTTTTCTCGTAAAGAAAACCCGGTTATCAGATGCCTCATTCTCATTGCACTGTTGGCATCAGCTTATTTCTCTACATTTGCCCTATTCTCCATGGCATCACAATACCTCTCTGCAAACTAGTACAGGCGAGTGTCCCGCTAGACATACTTGTCAAAGAAGCTGTTAATGCTCTCTGAACGCTATGTAGTTTTCATGCCCGCCCAAAAAGGTGTTTCATATAGGCCGGGATCCACATATGTCTCTCCTCGAACAATCCTATTTGATTTGTGAACCAATATTATTAACAACACTTATATCTTTAATCCCCATGAGAATTTTGTTAATCTATACATAAGTTATATGAAACAATGACTAACCAAACATTATTTATTTTCTGATAGAGCATTTATAATAATTTCTTCAATCTGATTTAACACTAGCACAATCACTGAAAAAGCAGATATAATACTATAAAACATACAATCACTAATTGTTTTGGAAATAACAGTAAAATAATTCACCCAAACTCAGCAACCATAACACTAACAAAAAACTAAAGTCAGCATGTTAACCTGAAAGCCATTCATCTGATCCAAGTGCATATGACTCCATTGCAACACTCCAGTTTACCTCGAACTCATCTTCACTTAAGCTGTCATATATAACATTAAGTAGCACGTCGTGAAATTCCTGGTAGTTCGCATACATTCCCAGCTTGGTACCAAACTTATTCACAATATGCCATAAGCACCACCTATGCTTGGCAGTGGGCATCACAATACTCAAAGCTTTCCTCATTGCAACACACTGGTCTGTCAAAATCCCCCTTGGGACTTTACCTCCTATACAGTCTAGCCAGTTCGAAAACAGCCACACAAAAGTTTGAGTGTTTTCATGGGACACTAAAGCACAGCCCAAAAGTATAGTCTGGCCATGGTGATTCACACTGACGATGTTGGCAAACGGGAGCTCATACTCATTAGTAACATAGGTAGAGTCAAAACATACTACATCCCCGAACTCCTGATAGGCAACGTGCATCAACCCACATGACATTAGTTAGCCTACCCTCATCATCTAACCTATACTTGTGAAAAAAATTCTGGTTGTCTGAACTCATCTTATCAAAATACGCAAGCATTGCATTAGCATCACCCCCGCTCATATTGAACTTCTTTTGCCTAGCCAATACATTCCTCAAATCCCTCTATGTAATTTTAGTCGTATTCTCTACCCTACCGCGCTCTTTGGCTAAACTACGATGCACTTGTGTCACCTGACTACCAGCACTGCAGTCATTGAATAACTTCCTCCTAACCGCAGTAGTGATTTCATCCTGCCGATACATGGAAATATGTCGTGACTTTCGGGGAGTTGGATTGTGAAATTCATGTTCTATGATTGCCTTTTGCACTTCCCACGAATCATCAGGTTTACAAAATGCCCTCATTTCCACTGGACACCCACACTTCTTAGTCTTCCTCTGATTTAAGTCCAAAGCCAAACCACCACCATACACCCTTTTCCCATTTACTCTTCTCCTTAAGTATGGCTTACCAACACATTCACACCGCCAAATGTAGCTCCTCCTCTAACTCTTGTCAGTTTTACCGTGCTCTATCTTGAAATTACTAGCCGCACAGAAAACTCCAAATCCTCTCTGCTTCCCATATTTTATGAAAAATTGATCAGCACACTCCCAACTCCTAAACACCATACCCACTTTAGGGTGGTTCAGTAAATCTTCATACTGCCTTCTTCACTCTCAACAACACACCGTACCGGGGTTGCTGCATCTACTGAACACCCTAATACATCCTTCACTGGAGTGTTCATTATGATAGCATCCTGACAGTGTTAAATAAAGAAACAGTTTAGGCAAACACTTTACCAATCAAACAACCCAAATTACTAACACCGACAATACTTTACCAATCAAACAACCCAAAACCTAACTGAAACCAAATCATATACTTATTCAAATATTACCAAATTTCCTATTCCAAACAAAACCTCATATGCACTAACACCACTTACAGCAAATTCCCAAACACCATTACTCATATGCATCAACAATAAATCAATCCTTTACATACTCAACTACTAATAAACAAAAGCTAATTCCCTGAAAAGAAAAACCTCAATTGCACTTACTGCATTAATCATATGCATCAACAATACACAAACACAATTAATCTCAGTACAATTTGGTAATATTTGAATACCTCAGTGAAACAAACTTCAGTGAAACATACCTCAACTTGTTCTAGATCCCACTCGCATACTTCAACATCATGGTCCAAGGGCTCTACTTCACAGTTTACACCGACTTCCATTGGCAATTCTTCCGACAGCACACACCAAAACAACAGATTCATTATTTTATTAAACCCTAATTTTCCAACAACAATTTCACTAGTTCGATTACTTTACTAGATCCTCCATTTCAATAAACGGCCTTCTCTAGCGGGAATTTTACCGGAAATTTCTGTAGATCTTGTAGGAAATTCTTGTAGATCTTTTAGGAAATTTCTCTCTACGACGCCGGGAAACATTTCGCGCGTAATTGATAAAACAAGGAGGAAATTTCTCTCTCCTCTTTTTTTACCCTACCCTTATTTCATTTCTATTTATTTTTTTTGGAGAAATTATTATTATATTCTGGTATTGGGCAAGGGCCGCCCATACCAGGTAGGGGGCTATACTTCATAACCGAAGGATTAACAATACCAATTCAGCCCGGCCGAAAATGACGAGGTATACTATACTAAACAAAGGGTTAAAGTGGTAAACATTAGATTGTGCAAGCGTATAGTTAACGTCGGTAGACCATCTCCGTTTCAATGAGCGCGTTTGACTAATTTGGGTATAAATAAAAATTGAAGCTGACAGATCCATGAAATTAATACAAAGAGAAATACAAGGAAATAATCCTTAAGTTTGGAAATTAAAAAGGTTAGAATTTTCTCGTCTTTTCTTTTCCTTACAAAAACATCATCATCTATCTATCTATTCTATCTGTCATCTAGATAATATAGTTTAAAAACCCCTCAAACCCTAGATATTTTTCTTCAATTTTTTTTCTATTGACAATGCCTAATTCTTGAAGGTTTTTTCTGTAGCTTGTTCGTAATATTCTTACCTTCCTTCAGATCGAATCAATCAGGTTTGTATTTTCTTTTTTCTTTTTCCTTTAATTTTTAATTTATATATTTAATTTTTTTTTGTAGGTGTGTATATCGGATCTCATTCAAAGGGTTGTTTGGTTTGAAATTGATGATTGATTTTTTTTATTGTTGAATTTAAAATTTTGAATTAGGTTTTTTTTTTTTTTTTTTTTTTTTTGGTCAGATTTTTTGTTTTAGGGTTCTGGTATGGTACGGAATGTTTAATTGTGAGCTTTTTTGATTATTGTTGAATAATTAGGTTTTTTAGTTGTTCATGTGTTTTATCCTTAATTATTTAAAAAAAAAATTGTATGAATGATTGATTTTCTAGTTTTTACATGATTCAGCACTTGAAGAGCTTGCTTTTTATGTATTTTTTGTGTTAAAAATTATATGGAATTATGATCTGCTGTTTATTCAGCTTATGTTGCGACGTATCGGAATAGTCTTCTGTGTTTAGTTGGAGTAAGTATTAGCAATTATAATCTCGTCATTTGAGGTTTTTTTAAGGAGTTAAACATGGTTTTGAATCTGAGTTATTCTGAGTATTTGCTTTCAGATGTGGTTATTTGTTATCAATTTATGTATTAACAGAACATGATAAAATTGTTTATTGGACTAGGAATTATTGAATGATAATCTAGGTTCATATAGCGTTGCCTCCTTCCTTTCGTTGAATACCATTTTTTCGTGTTTAAATGATTGTTTGGAGTATATATTGCCAAATCATTTACATTTCCTCACATGTTTGTGGCAGTAGCTGATGAAATTTTAATGATTAATTAGTGTACAATACAATAATACAACAGATAACTCCGTTTTACAATGCATCTAATGTTGGAACTGCATCTTTTGATCCTTTGCTCTTCTTTATGTTACGGATTGTCAATTTGTATCAGCCGTTTTGTCACATATTTGCATACATAGGTGTTGTGATATATATCTTGCTGATTAGTAATAGTATAATGTCAAGATCAAAGTCTTTGTCAAATAATCAAATTAGTTGTATAATTGGTTGTGCTTGTCAGTTGTTTTCCTGGGGCAGTTCGTAGTTTTATGTACTTATTCCGATGACTTTTTGATAAAGAGTAAAGACAGACTTGCATTCCCTTGCCTTGGGGAAGCTTGATTCATATTTCCATTCTGAATGTTTTCTGGGATTCTACAAATTTTCAATGTTGAATTGTGTACTTGTTTTCCCCTTCTTTTGTGAACGTTACATCAATTATATGTGCTAAGATTTTTTTATGCTCTTTATTCCGGACCTTATGTAGTTAAATTCCTCTTGACAGATTTGGATACAATTTGTGCCACAATACCTCAAGCTAAAGGAATATGCTACCTTTCGAGAGAAAACTAACTGCCTAAGTGCCTAAAACTACTCTGGCCAGAAGTTGTGACACTTAGTTTCTTATAACAGGGAGTTGGAACTTATATTAGGTTTGTTGCATTTAGAGGTTTACTTGTCCCGAGGGGGGATCGAAGAGCATCGGAGCACAATGCCTTCGGTGCCCACTACACTTCCTATTGTACCTTCCATTTTGTTGGCTACTTCTTTGCGTAGTTTATTATGTTCCCATCGTCTGAAACATCTTGAAAAAAGTGATCGGCGTGGTAATCTTAGTTAACATTAGGTTATTTCTGTTTTTCGCTTATTAGTGACCATCTCTGTCTTCCCTTCCTCGTGTTTCTTGGTTTTCCTCTTATTAAACTGCTCACACCTTGTAGAGAGATAAAAGGGATTGCTCTATAGAAGGTAGTTGATCTCTGCTATAGTCATTACAATTGTCTTTGGAGACATTTGTTAATCTGATTGTGTTGTGCAATATTGTGATTTTTTGGCTCTGCAAAATTGAGTCTGCAATTCTCTTGTTCTTATTCGATGGGCAGCGTCCATGCATATGATAGTGGCACTGATGATCATGAGCAATCTTCTGCCATGAAAGTGCAGCATGCCTGCAGTGGTACTACAGTAGACACACTGCAGAAACTTGAAAATGCATTTCATGATAATCTGCTAGTGAACAGTGAGAATTTGGATACTGGCATTCTGCCATCTGATGATAATGGCAGCAGCAGTAGTAGTAGTCTGGAAGATAAAGACACAGGATCTGGTGATTTTGACTCAGATCTGGAGGGCTCCATTGCAACATCTAGTAAGTGCTTGCACAAGTGTGCTACTTTTCCTGTTGCTGTCAAGGAGGAAGCGACACTTGATTTTCAGCCTGAAAGTAAATCTTGCTTGCGCTCACTGTCTCTTCCAACTGAAAGCAAGCTTGTCTCTGCCCTCAAGGGTAGCCGTGAGAAGATAGGTGTGCCTCCAAGGAAGCTGAGTGTATCTTGGGCTCCTGACGTATATGATCCACCACCAACTTCGTTGTCTCACTACCCAAAGAAAAAGAATCAGCAGCAGTCCAAGAGCAGTAAGAAACATGGAAAGGGAAAGCAAAAGAGCAAGAGTGTGCGTGGGGGAGGAAGTGCAACTAAAGACAAGAAGCATTACCGCAAGTCGGGAGGAAGATCTGACCGGTGTTTGGATTCCTTTGCAGATACTGATAGGGTACTATCATCAAACAGTTACAAATCTCTAGATCTGCTGGATTTCGATGAGGATATTGATATTGGTAGCCCTGATTCCAACTGTTCTAGCAGCTTTCTGGGGCAAGCTGGTGGTACCATGCACTGTGTTTGCTGAGGCTATGTTGGCTGGTCACGAGGATTTTGCCACCAGTTTCACATCAACTATCAATGTAAATAAATAAGTTGGGGACATTTTCGAGGCTTTTTTATTTGCTTTGTTTAGCTACTTTGTTGTTTTCTTCTCCTAAGACGCCTATGCTTGAACTGTGAGTGTGTGTTGGCTGACAATATACTATGTGGATTGGTTGTTAATATTATCTGGGTTGAAGTGTCATATGCATTGTTTTCTGCAGATGGTATACTCTTCAATTGAAGAACAGTATGGAAACTTACTATCCTAACATTCTTACCCTGACGTTTCAGATAATTGTGAGGTATTGCCAGATTTTTTATTCCCCGTTTAGGCTATGTTTTGCTCAACTTAGGAAAAATTAAGTTTAGATAAGAGCTACCAATGTCAAACTAGTAAAATATTTTGATGAAACACGAGTTTAAATGAGGGTTCACAACTTCATAAGGATTATTACAGCTTGTTTGGATGGAGGGAAAAGAAGAGATTAGTTTTCCTCTATTTGGATAGCAAAAATGGCATGTGAGGGAATTGGGAGGAAGAGAAATGGAAGGATAGAACAAATCTTTCCACATTAGAGTAGATTTGGAAGGAAAATTGGTTTAACTAGATGGAAGCCCGTGCGATGCACGGTTTTTTCATCTAAGATTTTTAATTATTTGATTTATTGTATTTAATAATTTCAGACAAAATTACAAAAGTTTCATATTATTTACTTTTACTATAATTTATAATGAATTTATTAAATATAAATAAATTGTAAATATGATATTTTTTCCGTTATATAAAATCTTTAATGTGAAATGATAAATTTTTAATAAATTAAATCCTAAATCATTATTCATTGTTTTATCATACCTTTTATTTCGATAGAATCACCAACCTCTTCCGTCCACAACCAACCTACTACATCAATGGATAAATTGAAACGTGAAATGTTAGTCAAACTGAAATTGATATAAATTAAATATCTACATTTAAATAAAATAAATCAATATATTTACCAATAAAAGAAAAATTGTTGCGATATAAAATCAAATCTATGCATTGGAATTTTTTCATCATCTCCAAAAATAACCAAAGCCATCCATATATTAAGTATACAACACCTAATCGTATGTCATTACATAAACAAATAATCGTTAAGTATCCTAAATAAATACAATGTAACTAATAATTACAAATATAAATTTAAACATAAGATTTTAAAAATTACCCGGACATTGATGACCTAAAACTAACACCAAAATTACTAACACAAATTTCGCTTGATGGGGTTTTGTATTGATACGAAACTTTATTTGTGTCGTATGATGTGTTAGATCTGTATGTAAAAAAACATTTAGTAAATAAAACATAAACATATAATCGTTGAGTATCCCAAATTAATACAATGTAAGTATAATTAGAAATACTAATTTAAACATAGGATTTAAAAATTAAGCTAAAAATTACCCGGCCATTGATGACTAAAAATTAACACAAAATTACTAACACAAAATTCGCTTGATGGGGTTTTCTAATGATAGGAAATTTTGTTTATGTCGTATGATGTGTCAATTTATAATGGTAGGCATCACAAATTTTAATTTAATTATAATTAAAGAACAATTTGTATTTCTTATCATAAATACTATCAAAATTTATCTTATAATGATAGGTATCAAACTTTATTATAAAAGTTTATCATTTAAATATTTCTTAGGATATTTTTTTGGATTTCTTATACTCTTAGTATTGAATTAATAAATTTATCTTTTCCTATATTTTTATTTTATTTTTTTCATTAAAATAATTTAATTCGTGGATTATAATCTACGTGGCATTAAAATTTTAGATATATCAAATCTAATTCGTTACTTTTATGTGGCGACATAATTTTTTAATTCAAAAATAAAATACAAATCTTTAAAGAACAATTTGTATTTCTTATCATAAATACTATTAAAATTTATCATATAATGATAGGTATCAAACTTTATTATAAGCGTTTATCATTTAAATATTTCTTAGGATATTTTTTTTGGATTTCTTATACTCACGGTATTGAATTAATAAATTTATCTTTTCCTAAATTTTTACTTTATCTTTTCTTCTTATTGGTCGAAATAAGTATATTTCTTACGTGGCGCTCCGAAAGCTCTCCAAAAATGCCTACTTTATTTATATATATTAGATTTTCTCCGGCACTTATAGTTCGTTTGTCACCTCTACCACAAGCCGTACTGTCATCTTCTGTCGTCATCTTCCGCCACATCATTTGCCGCCATATCCATACTTTTCTACTTTTTAAAATTTCGATCTTAAGAAATTTTATTTTTCAAAATTGATTTTAAAGTATAAAAATTCTAATGTTGAGATACATAATTTCTGGTTTTGATTTACAAAAATCGATTTTTCATGAAATCTGATTTTTAATTTCATGAATCAAGTTTCAAAAAATTGATTATGATCTTCAAAAATCGAATTTTTGGAAAAAAAAAAAAAAGATTTTGATATTCAAAAATCAATTTTCAGAAAATACGGTCTTCTTTAATTTTCTAAAACCAGCATACAGAAATTTTTGTTTTAATTTTCGAAAATCAAATTTTAGAAATTTTGGTTTTAATTTGCAAAAATCAATTTTCAGAAAATTTCGTTTTGGAAAATCAACAATGAAGAAAATTTGCTTTTTAGAATTTTTTTATTTCGGAAAATTTATATATGAAAGAATTTTATATTTTCCAGAAATTTATATTTTGAAATTTTGATCTGTGAATTATTGATTTTGAAAAATTGAGAACTTCAATTCATATTATCACAAGAGCAAACACATTAATTCAGCCATGGGTAAAATTCACAAGAACAAGCAAATTCCCTCACTCTCTCTTTCTTCATTTTCTCTGTTATCCAAATGAGGGATTTGGTTTTCTTCACCCCTCCCCTTCCTTCACCTCCCTTTCCTTCATCTTCCTTCCCCTCCATTTCCTTCCAAAATTTCGATCCAAACACAGTGTTATAGTTTAATTATACAATTAAAACAAGTTTAATGAAAGTGAAATAGGTTTAGTGTAAACAACTTAGAACTTGTTATCGTTTGTAATTTTAAGTTTTTTGTTTTTTAAAGTTATGTGATATATGAAGTAAGTTATTAAAATGAATAAAAAAAATAGTCAAATTTATTTGAATTGTCATAAGTTTGAAAGATAACAAATAAAAAATTCCGTAAATGTTATGAAATATTGTGTGGATGCCCATTATACTCCTTGTATGTTGTATCATTCCAGAATATTCTACATAGATCTAGGGTTTATATTCTTATCTAACCAAACCCTAATTATATTGTGTATATATATATACCCCCCTCATATGGAATAGAAATATACGGATCGATTATCTCACAATCTCTATCATGTTTCACCTTATTTTATAACACGTTATCAGCACCATAGCTCTACCTCTAGTCCTCTATTATATCTACAATAATCGACTAGCGCAAAATCCATAACATTAAGATAAATATTTATCGTTTTATTTGCTTATTTATTAACAATCTAAAAGACGATTATTGATTTTAAATATCTTATTCTTGATATGTTGAATTTAGGATGCTTTTTATTTGGCACAACAATTGAAGTGGATTTAAGTTTGCAGCCGAGATTAATCTTTTGTGGGTTTTTGTTTTCGAATCATTATTATCACCACGTTTGGTGATATACTAATATTGCTATTTTCGATTATATGTTAAATAAAATTTTAGTGACATTATAATTGAATTTAATTTTGAGAACTAATTATATGCTTTGAAGTTATTAAAATAATCGAAATAGTGCGGCAATTGTGTGTTTATGTTAAACAACTTTAATCCAATTTGTGAAATAGCAATTAGTTGTGTCAGATAGATGATATGATTTCATGATATTTGTGACTTCATGGAATTTAATAATTGATGTTAAGCAAGTGATGATCAACCGGCCGTGATATTAGCAATTGGCGAAGTTTCGTGACCCTTTTGGAACATGAAATACTCCAGCAGCATGAACAAAGAACTTTGTTTTTAATTTGCTATGCAGGCTACAATATGATATCATTAGTGTGAGTCGTATGATTAGATTATCTTAAAATTAGGGGAGTTTGTCAACTTTAAAAGTCGTAACGTCAAACTTATGTGTATAATATGATTATTTTGTGCCTATTATTATTATTATTATTATTATTATTATTATTATTATTATTATTATTATGCCGTGATTGTCATCTATGTGGGATTAAGTTAGTTTAGAGATTAATTAGATAGTAAGTGATAAGGATTGATTAATATGGTCAAACCTTAGCTTATTTTTTCATACTTATTATGTTGAGAATACTGTTATACATATTTATCTTTTACAACTATAGCTTTCTCTCCTTACTCTTAGTACTCTGTTGTAACTATTTACGTTAGTCTATCTGCCTAACCTAGCTTATGTATAGCTATATATACTTTCTAAGTTAATGAGAATAATACAACTTCTCTCAATATCTTTTATTATTCTCTGCAGTAAGTTGGTCCGACTAATACTTGTGAGTGTTGAAGGGAAATACTTTCATGTAAATTTATTATTTTGTAACAAATGTGCTAGTTGATTTACATTACTTCTACTAATCTTTATTGTGTTCATTGGTAAGACGTGATTATTGATTGTGGAACTTGTTATTTGTCTCGGTTGATTAGGTATTGTTTGCTTAGTTTTTGAACGATTAAAATTGTTAAACTTTCACCTTGATCTAGAGGCATATGCAATTGATCAGAATTGTAGAGCATGGACTTATTGCTAGGTTTTATTTTGTGAGTATCTTGTTGGCTTGCATTAACTCCAAAAGAGAATTTACAAACATTATTGGTATTTATTCTTGTAAATTTAGCATTTTATCGAATTGGAAATGTATATAATTGCAAGAGGTGTAACATTTATTTTCTTTTTGAAGGCTTGGATGAGACCCATTATTTTTCCAAGATTGATAACTGAAATGAAAGGTTTGTTTTGGCAAAGGATCAATAAGGTCATACAAAGTATATTTTATATGTAATCCACTTGCGGTAAGAATGAGAAATTTGAACCTCTATTTTCGAAATGTTTATGAATATTATGTGAATTTTTTTTTTTGTTATGTGTATGTCATGTGTTCACTATAATAATCTAAGAAGATTTCAAGTACTCAAGATATGATTTATTATAAATATTTCTATCTAAGCTATTTCC